GCTGGCCAGTCCCCTCCGAGCCCCCGCCCCCGCTCGGGGATCGCGCTGCAACGCGCCGCATCGCCGATGCATTGCCGCCGCATCGCCGATGGATTGCCGATGCATCGGCGGTGCGTCGACGATGCGGCGCGATCCTTCGACACCAGCTGCTCCGACCCCATCCGGGAGGCCTCTGGTATCGGGGCCAGGGCCATCTAGAAGCCAGGCCGGGCCATGCATTACCTGCCTCAGCACCTGAGCGTTCACTTAGAATTCCCTTATCCCTTTAGCAACCTCCGTGCCGATCCAAGGTGCGAGCCCCCCGTCCCATTTGACCCAGGTTGCCAGAAGCCCTCGTGTCGTAGAGTCACCGTGGGAGGTCTTCTGCTACCTTCGGCCTCTGGGGGGGCATCGGTAGGCCCCAGGGCCGTCCAGGGAAGGAGTCCAGACCTCTGGTGGGTCCACCCTCGTGAAAGAGGCAGGAGCGACGCAAAAAACATGAGGCCGTCTGCGCCGACGTTCGTTCGTGAGCCGGCCCGCCTGGGGTCGCGCGTGAGCGCCCCCGTCTCCAGGTGTAGAATGCCGGCGGTGGAGCCCGGGCCGGCCGCGGGGAGGCTCGCAGAGCCCGAGCGCGCGGAGGAAGGAGAGAGTGGCTGCACGAGGAGCCGTCTGCACGAGCGTGTCCAGCGCAGCCCAAGGCCTCCGCACGGAGCTCCGACGGCCTAGGCTCGTGCAGGCGTTTCCTCTTCGAGGGGCGATGTAAACAAAAAGGAGGAGGAGGACGAGGAGGAGGAGGAGAAGGATGAGGAGGAGGAGGAGGAGGAGGAGGAGGAGGTGGAGGTGGAGGAGGAGGAGGAGGTGGAGGTGGAGGTGGAGGTGGAGGCGGTGGAGGAGGAGGAGGAGGTGGAGGAGGCGTGGCCGCCTTGATCTCGACATCATTGCGTGGTATCGTCAGCACGACCTTTTGCAGAGATTCTACGCAGCACAGGGCCTGCGAAGCTGGCAGGCAGCAGCGAAAGAGTCGCAAGAGTGGCTAAGCAGAGCGGAAGACTTTGTCCACGGGGTTGCTGATGGTCACGGTTAAGCCTCGAGGTTCTCTTCTGAGGCGTCCCGCCCGCCCGGGGCCTTATACGGAACTTCTTCTTTCTCCTCCTTCTCCTAGTTCTCCTCCCCCTCATCCTGCTTCTGCTCCTCCTCCTCCTCTTCCTCCTCCTCCTCCCTACAGCGGTGAAGCAGTCGTCGTCCCTGCGCGCAGCCCTCCAGAGGGCCGCCATGGACGAAGCAGCGCACGAGCTGGGATTTTCCGTTGCCTCGTTGTTGTTAGATATAAAGAATATATGAGAACATCAATATTAAGAAGGTCATGCGGATTTCGCCGGCCCAAGGATATCCTGCAATTGTGGTTGGAGATCCATATGTTTCTTCCTCTTAGTGTTCGGAAATTTCGTGAGATGTCCAGTGATTTCGTTTTTCCTACGCAGTCCCTGGTTTCGGGCTCGCCAAAAGAAATTTCCTTGGCCAAACTTTTTCTTGCGCCCATCATGGAAGAGACTGTCAAAATATTGGCTCTCACCCCGACCAAGGCCTCCTCGGCCATCTGGACTTTTGTTGATGGCACCGTCGCTCGGTCCGAGGGGAGATGGGCCGACGTAGTCGGTCAGATGTCGGGGCTTGCGGATTCGTTTGTGCTCCTCCTCCTCCTCCTCCTCCTCCTCCTCCTCCTCCTCCTCCTCCTCCTCGTGGCCCGCATCCGTAGCCATTTTGGCTCAAGCCATTTTGGCTCAAGTAAAACATTTACCAAGGCAGCTGGCCGTTCAGCTCTGTTCCATTCCATAACTCACAGGACCGTCACGGCTGCCCAGCCCACGGCTCCGCTCCATATCCGCAAGACGAAGCTCACCTTCGCACAATTACTACTTCAACTAATTCAATTGCAGGTTTTTGGATTGGCTCTTCTCTCGCTTGGCATCGGAAAGGCAATTCGTGGCATAGTACAGTACAACACTTCAGAATAGACTCCGACACTGCCTCCGCTTCATCTCGTAGCGACTCCAAGAGCAGAAGTCAGGCCAGTGGACACCGTCGGGATCGCCGCAGACATTCAGAAAGGCGCGACAGGGACAGAGACCGCGACCGCGATCGACACCGCCGACGGGATAGGGATCGACGCCAACGTACTTCTCCGTCTGAAGGTTCACGCCCTCGGCCCAAAGGACACAGTGGACGCTCTAAAGGCCCTCTCGAACGTGAAGCAAATGGCGCCCCTCGAGGATTTCATTCAGCAGCCACTCAAGATGCATGGCAGCGAGCAGCACTGGAAGAACTTGATGCAGCACCTACTTTCCCCTCTCAAGAACAAGCTCACTGGCAAGCTCATCAACACGCACAGCGAGAACGACAAGCACGTGAACACCAAGAGGCTCAAGCCGCACGCGACGCCCACGAAGCCGCACAGCTTGCCACCGCAGCAGAAGCCTCTCAACAACAATGGTTTGCTCAACGCGCGGCTCACGCAGCTCAGCAGCGCTCTCCTATTACAGCAGCGCCCCCTACCGCCGCAGCCAGCCCTGGACACATGGCATCAGCTGCAGCACCAGCCCATGCAGCAGAAGGCACCGCCACGCCAGCAGGCGGACCGAGGCCTCAATCAACGTTGGACCCAGACATTCAACGCGAGCTCAATCAGATCATGGCATCACAAATGGCAGCAACCAATACCGCAGTTGGAGAAACCGTATCCGCCTCGCAAGCGCAGTTCATTGCCGCTCTACAGCGACACGAAGCAGCTACTACTCGCAGATTGGACGGGCAAGAGCAAGACCTCATGGCTATCAAGGTTGCTCAAGCCAAGCAAGAATCACAACATCAGGAAGTCTGGAATGCCATCCAGCGTATCAATCAGCAGCTCAGCCTGGGCGAAGCCGACGCTCCCATCCTGGACATGGCCAAGCTCTCAGACTGGGATCGCGAGCCCGACCCCGCCATCTACGTTCTCTCCACCGCGCAGCCCGTCGACACAGCCGCAGTTCGCACGTCCATCACATAATGGTTGGATGCAGCAGAAGTGGCCCCGCAGCAGTTTCAGATTCACGGTGAAGGACCCAATCGGCGCTTCATACTTCAGCTTCTGGGCGGCCGATCTGTCGCCATTTCCAAATCCGTTGCGCTCGCTCGTGCCCTTCAGCTTCCAGGACGCGGAGGTTACAGGCAGTTCACAGTTCAGACCCCCACCAACTGCGTCATCAATCACTGCCAGTACGTCCCGCTCTACGTCCACCCCGATAAGAACATCAAGCACATCATAATGGAAACTCAAACTACAAAGCTACTCGCTCTTTGTCAGGCCCACTACCCCACGCACAATTGGCGCGCGCGCTGTGATCAAGGGCGTATTTTCTGCAATGCCATCCCCACCGCCAAGCTGGAGCTCACTAGCATGGGCACGGCAACGGTCATTCGTTGGAATCAAGATGCGCTGGCCAAGGTTCCTATCAACAAAGCCACCATCGCTGCAGAATTTGCCGCTCTCTACAAAGCAGAAGACACAGTACAGTGGCTTTAACAAACGCTGGTCCCCATGGAGAACTACGACCACAGACGGAGACCATGCCAGACCTCCTGGACCTGATGCACCGCGAGGGCATCGGCCCCATCCTCTACAGCACCTTCGGCCAGCACCTGACCTCCAGCTTCCTTGCTCTGAAGCTGCGCACGCTCCCCTTCATCCCGAATGTGCTCCACGGGAACCCAGACCAGATCTTCAGCACCATAGAGCACCAACAGATCTACCTGCACCGCGACGACAGGCACACGGGGATTGGGACACCCCTGTTGTCCCCGAGGGACGGGAGAGCCCTCCATATGTTATTTCAGACTTCTCGGGCCTGGAGTGCCCACCAGATTCGCTTCTTCCGCAACATGATCTGCCTCATCCCGCGCAAGCTCTACTGCTTCCCGAACAAGATCGCATTCTCAAAATAGATATGATTCAGAATGGCTCGGTTTCAACTTTCAGCTCATATTCGGCTTCTTCGTCATCGTCTTCCACCAGCGCTTCTTCATCCTCGTCGGACACCAGCTCATCATTCAACAACCGTCGGTCTCGGACTACTCGTACACGTACACGACCTACTACAGCAGATACGGCAGGCAGCTACATCTGTTGGAACGCTCGCGGGCTACTCTGTCATGATGATGCCAATCGCTGGGGAAAGATACGGCAGCTCGTTCCCTTCATGCGCATGCAGTCGCTCATCGCTCTCCAAGAGGTGCACAGCACACAGCTCGATCTCGAATCACACCTTGGCGAACTTCCCTACGACTATCAGGTCTTCTTCAGCGGCTTCCCTCACAACCGCGGCAAGGGCGGCATCGCCTTCTTAGTACCGACGCCTTCGATGTCGACGACCTCTACCTCGCTTTGGCCAGTGATACGCGGGAGGGCTGCTGTCCTCCATGTGGCCAACCACACCACGGGCTTCGACGCGCTCATCATGAATGCGCACAATCACGACCTGCAGGCTAAGGATATGGATAGAGTGACGGAAGCGCGGCGTGCTTCCCGACAGTGGGCAGCGCAGAACCCACAACAGCGGCTATTCATTGCCATGGGCGATTTCAACACCAGCGCGGCCCCCTCCTTTAGCTTCAAGGATCCATCAGCACGTTGGCGGCCGATGGCACCTGATGGACAGTATCAGCGCGAACAAGCGCGTTGGCGCCAATTGTTTGCCTCGCTCACGGAAGTTACGCACGACCTGCCCACGCACTTCTCGGCCAACACACAAGCGGCTACTGCCATAGACCGCATCTTCGTGTCGCTGTCGGGCATCGATCTCATGAACGTTGACGCTCACCTCAAGATCCACGAAGACGGCGCTGCCTTATCAGATAAAGGCCTCAGTGACCACGCGATCCTGCACCTGCTGCTGGTCAACGCATCGGCGGCGCAGAAGGAGGAACAGGCCATCGATCCG